TTTCTCCACTGTTTCAATCAGGGATCAGAGAAGACTTTCTCAGGGAACAAGGCGGGATGCCAGGGTGGCGTCTCAACTGGGCTAAGAATGTGTGAGACAGGGAGGCTTGGAGTGGGAAAGGCGGAGAGCATCCCAGGCAGAGGGAAGCATGTGGGAAGGTCCTGAGGCACCTTAAGATGTGAAATCGGGGGAAAGTCCTGCAAAACGAGGGTCTCCTGTTCTCTCTCAGGGTAAATAGATTAAGCTCTTGAACATTCTGGTCTTGTATCTCACTCAAGCCTTGTCTTTACCCGAGCCCTCTGGATTTTAAAAATGGTTGGTCAGCTCCAGGAGCATACACTGGGTTCCCTCTTTTGCTCATAGGCTCCCCACTTCAACCAACCATCCCCCTTTGACCTTAAAAGCCCTTTCTCGTTACCCTCATTTTGTTTCCTGCCTGCACCATTTCAGCGGGTCCGGGTCCTGGCCCTAGCGAGGACTCAGCCTCTCTCGTCAGTCTCTGCTTGCGGTCCCTTCTCCACCCCCCTGCCCTCTGCCAGGGATCCCTGGTTACCTATTGGAGTCTGTGTTCCGCTTTGGCCTGGATGGTTTTCGCAGTCAGGCATCATCTTTGCATTTGCATAGTCTAGTGTGGAACCTGGTATATAGACAATGTATTCAATAATTGTTGACACTGTGTGAACACGCTAAAAGATCTCCGCCCTTCCAGAAATGTCAGCTTTGTCGCATAGCACACACTGCGGCACAGCTGAGACGTGACACGTTCGCTTCTGCTGTGCGAAGGAGAGGCTGTCACCACAACACTGTTCTCACATGGGTGATTTTCATGTGTGATTCTCGTGCTTGTCGTTTCTTGGGGAGGACGGTGGCAGGTTCCCGGGCAAGCTCTAGCCTGTCTGGCTTCTTTTTTCCAGGCCCTTCCTGCTGCGTGTGACAGTGTTTCAGCCTGACCTTCAGGTGTGTGTCATCTTCCAGGAGCAGAGAGGGAAGAAGGGGGTTGGAGGAAGGGCATTCCCAAGGGCGAGCGACAGTCTGAGCCAGGCAGAGGGTGGAAGAGAACGACCATGAAGAGGTTAGGGAAATATTTCACATGTGATCTCTCCTATTGTATTCAGACAGTAGTGGTTAAGAAGCCGCCTATTTTATTTCCTCCAAAATTCATCGCACATGGAACTGACTTGGCATCAGCTGCTGACATTTAGGTTTTTGTTTGTGCTGAAGTGATGCAACTTCATGAAAATGCAACACATAACTTTGACATTCCCACTCAATTACAATTTAAAACGCGTGAGAACATTACTTGGACACCCAGTTGGTGTGTATAGCACTGGGGGTGTTTTTATTTCTTTAACTTTCTGGCAGCTGAAGTTGGGACCATTCCAGAATGAATCTTGGGACAATATTTATAGACTGCGGTGAGTGGTTATGTGTGGCACAGAAAATGTTCTCGAGATGATTCCAGCTGGGCAGGTACCCTGTGGGGATACTGCATGGGCCTGGGCTTAAAGTTGATGTGGGAGGACCCCCAAAGTGGAATTTGTGCCATCTTCTTAGTTTTTAGGGGTTCATATGACAGGGAAATATGAAGAAACTCTTATCACTAGTCAAAGGTCAAGCTGAGACTGAGAGGCATTATTTAGAGTCTTAATTCCTAGAGAGGGAGGAACGTATCAGCCTTTAAAAAAGAAACTGGACAGACGTATATGGCCTTTGAGGTCGAAATCTTAGCTCTTCTGACATTATAGTCCTTGGGAGGGGGGGGGGGGGTGCACGCACATGCGTTGGCTTCCAAAACCTTGCTTTGTGATCTGTTAAGAGAATGTTTAATCCAGGTCACACATTCATTTTACCATATCATACCTGAGAGGAGACCTAAACGTCATTAATATTACCTTGATCTATAAAATAATAGGATGGTTGTTTCAAGAGGAATCTAATAAAGGACCAAAAACTAAAACGTCTTGGTGTCCTTGTCTGAGATCGGAAACAGGAAGATGCTGGCAGAGATAGATGAGGTCCCAGTCATTTAACTAGGATGTTGCAGCTCAGATTATAGGTAATAACCCAAGAGTTTTAGGGTCATAATATGATTTACTTTTTGTCATAGTTTAGAGTTAAGCAAATATAGTCACTTCACAGATACATAGTTGGGCTTCGGGCTTCAAGAACAAACCACAAATTAATGATTGAATAAAGCATGTATAAGATGTTGTCTAGGGACCCACTGTCTTGGGCTAAGGAGCAGAAGGTGCTCCTAAGAAAATATCTGCTGAAAATCTCTGTTGTCCCCAAAGGAGCCACAGTGTCACCTACTGAGTTTGTGTTTGATTCCAAACTATGCCTCTTTTCACAGTGTGATAAGAAACTTTTGAAATGTCAAAGTTCTAACCGACATTGAATTGCGTGGGTCCAGAATAGGTAAATAAATGTCAGTACACAGTTACAGATATACCTGAAAGTAACTATAAAATTGAAGTTCAGAAACATTTTTTTAAGTAGAGGAACACATTGGTATGTGGTAACTAATATGCATTGTTGCATTTCACTTGTCTATAACGAGATACCATTATGACTAAAATTATTGTGTAGGTGTGAGGAGAAAGCTGTTTATATTACCATCTGACACCTGCCTTTTTAGATTAGTGTTCTTTTCTGCCTTTGTTCATTCTTCTGCACCCACCCAGGTTCAGACAACTCTCTTTGTTTTAATTCCTCCATAAAAGGAGTGGCAATGGGGAGGTTAGGAGATGAATAAATTGATCCTAATCATTCCCCATACAAATCATCTCACCTTTTCACCCTCTTCCACACTCTTTCCTGTTGTATTTTCTTCCACATGAAAGAAGGCAAACGTGAGCAGAGTCTGTAATCCCTGGAACCCGATACCTTCTATATCTATAATAAACTTTCAGTCACCTAGAGCCCTCCCCCATGCCTGCTGTAGTCTATCTTTATGAAACATGCAAATTTTAAGAAAATACATTCATAATTTCCCTTGCCTCATATTATTATATATTTGGATAAATCTGCAGTAAAAGTATCAAGATTCAGGTTCAGGAAATGAAAGGGGTGAAAGGTTTGCCCCATCTGAAATAGAGAAGATTTTGCAGACCGGTGCTGGGTTTGTTTATTCATGCACGCTCAGAGAGACTGAACATTCACTCGATTTTCCACCAGTGTTTTCTACTCTTGGGGAAAATACACTGGCTGAATTGTTAGAAAAGGGTTACTCGGGGACACCAGGAACCACTCTTCACAGATGTCCTTTCAGAAAGCAGAGTAATGTGACAGCATCTAAAGGCACCCTGCCAGAGTCACCCGGCCAGCAAGTTGGGGGAACGCAGGCCCCCAGGAGGCACCTCGCTGCTCCTGCCAGCTTCCTTAAGAATGTTCATTGGACTGTAGTCACCATGCTGTAGCAGATGATGGTGGCATAAAGAAGGCCCTCTGTTGCCTCATTTCCCGGTCCCTTGAGACCTTGGTCATGAATGTGCTCAGAAGTTTAAAAAAGGAACCTTTTGCTTGTTGCTTTGGGGAAATATCAGACTTTTAATTAGAATTAAAAGGCACTGCCAGGAAGGAACAAGTAAAAATATAACACAAGCATAGGTACTTAAAAGGAAACTCCATGTTAAATTGCCCCATCTCTCTGGAGAGGTTCTTCTGGTTGGCTCAGGGAACTGGAGTGCTTTTATGGAGAAATATCTGCCGGCTCTGTTCCTCAGACTCCCAAGAGGTCTGACCTGGGCTCTCCATTCCCTACAGGACAGGGTAGGTAGGTAGGGATAGGATTACAGAAAGGTTCAGACCCAATACCCACAAGCCAAACCTAGTATCTGTTGTCCAGGGGTCCTCTGACCTGCGGGACTAAGAATTAATCCCAACTAAAGAGTTTTGCTGGATTCAGAACCTCATTCCCAGGGCAACACTGCGTCCTTCCTAGGCCAGAAGGGGGAGGAAAAATTGCTCTTATCAACATGCATTCTCTTATGGTGTGAGGCTTGTTTTCAATTTGATGGGTCTATCATTTCTTTGCAAGGCTAAAACAAATTGATACAAATTCATACCCAACCTCCGAATCTTCACATTACAACTTTAAGTAGTATAAACAATTCATTGTAGATTCTCAAAATTAATGACATAGCCCTGGCTGGTTTGGCTGAGTGGTGTTAGAATGTCGGCCCACAGACCAAAGGATCTTGGGTGCGATGCCCTGTCAAGGGCACATACCTGGGTTGCAGATTCAATTCCCGGCCCCCATAGGGATCATGTGGGAGGCAATCAATCACCGTGTCTCTCTCACATGAATATTTCTCTCTCTCCCCTTCACTCTATCTAAAAATCAATGGAAATATATCCTCGGTTGAGGATTAACAACAACAAAAAATTAATGACATAATTATGAGATCATACAAGGATAACTTCAGTGTCAAATATGAGAAACCCAGGTAGACAATTATAATTTAATTGATTTATTCCAAATTTTATGTTGCTCCTAAACTACATTATGTTCTAAGAAGCATTTCATTCCCCAGTGAACTTATCTTCAATAGCGTCATGTTCACAAGTAGGTTAGATAATCAGATACTATAGTTAAGGAATTCTTAGTAGGAACACAGTATTCTCCAGATTGTTTCTTTTTCTTTTTCTTTTTTTTTTTTTCACTAGGGTGTGGAATTCCACAGTATGGTTTGGTGCTTTAAAAAGTACAGCCTCTTGAACTTGAGTTCATCTTCTAGCTCTACTGTTTCCACCTTGGGAAGGTGGCTTAATCTAATTGTGCCTCAGTTTTGTCATCCTATGAAATGAGGCTAGAATTGGTACCTACCCCACAGAGCTGTGAAGGTTAAATGAGTTCTTACACGTCAATGTCTGGCACATACTAAAGGTTCGCTGTTGCTCTCATTAATAGTTGATGTTTTCAGTCATGTGCAAGCTTGTAGTCCCTTCAATGGACTTTGCATGTCCTGTTTTGAATGTTCTTCTCTGCCTCCCGACAGGAAAATGGCAGATAAATGAAGTCGGCCTCCTGAACATCACCAGGGTGTCTTTTTCAGACCGAGGGAAATACACCTGTGTTGCTTCTAATGTCTATGGCACTGTGAACAACACAGTGACCCTGCGAGTCATCTTCACCTCTGGAGACATGGGCGTCTACTACATGGTCGTCTGCCTCGTGGCCTTCACCATTGTCATGGTCCTCAACATCACGCGCCTGTGTATGATGAGCAGCCACTTGAAGAAGACTGAGAAGGCCATCAATGAGTTCTTTAGGACAGAAGGTGCAGAGAAGCTGCAGAAGGCATTCGAGATCGCCAAGCGGATCCCCATCATCACCTCAGCCAAAACTCTAGAGCTTGCCAAAGTCACCCAGTTCAAAACCATGGAGTTTGCCCGCTATATTGAAGAGCTGGCCAGGAGCGTGCCTCTGCCTCCTCTCATCATGAACTGCAGGACCATCATGGAGGAGATCATGGAAGTGGTCAGGCTGGAGGAGCAGGGGCAGAATTTCGTGCGGCACACTCCAGAGGGCCAGGAGGCGGCAGACAGGGATGAGGTGTACATGCTCCGAAACTCTCTGAAGCGAAGTGACTCCCCCACCGCCGACTCAGACGCCTCGTCGCTGCACGAACAGCCTCAACAGATCGCCATCGAGGTGTCCGTGCATCCACAGTCCAAAAAAGACCACGTGGACGACCAAGAGGGGGCACCGTTTGAAGTCAAGGATGAAGAGGAGACAGAACCGTCAGCTGAACCTTCCCCAGAAACTGTAGAGCCTTCTACGGATGTAACATCCACGGAGCTAACATCTGAAGAGCCCACGCCCGTTGAGGTATCAGACAGAGGCCTGCCACCAGCCCGCCTGGGAACCACGGAGCCGGCAGTGACACACGACAGAAACACCTGCATTATTTATGAAAGCCATGTCTAATATCAACTCTGAAAAGCTATGCATATCAAGAAAATTAGGGGCTGCTCGTCGTAGTCCAGGTGTAGTACGCACTTGCCACTAAGCCTTACTAGGAGACTGGCATCCCTTAGGTAGGAGTGATGCCATTGTCAAAGGGGAAACATCTGCATGCAGTTCATGTGACTGGAACCTCCCCGGTCGGAAAGGATGCGGGAATCATCAGGGTGCAGAATCGATACTATTGGACAGGTGTCTAAGTGATACGAATGTTAGAGACGATTCTCTGCTAAATACCTTAATTGGTGATGCCCTTTTGGCAAAGAGTACACTGCTGTAAGATAAATTCTGAGTTCAAGAGCCCTGTCCAATGCACACTGCATTGCTTTTCTTTAAACAAACAAACAAAAAAAAAGTATAGGTCTGCTGCAATAGCAAATGCACGTATATGGGTTTGTTGCACTTTCTTCTCAGTTTTTATTCCTTTCACTGATCCTTTATAATGGAGTAGTTGTTGTTATAGTAATACTAATTCCTCTTTCTGGTTTAGTCCTTTTTGTCCTTATTTTCCCCTAGAACATTTACCTCAGAGGCTTTGGTATCAGTCATAGTCACCAGTACCAGGGCTGATACCTCTAAGTCATTTGTAATGTTCCAAAGTAGTCACTAAGCTCCTTATTTTCGTTATTTCCCAGGCCTGTTTTCATACCTTGATTTTTATTTGTTTTTAATGAAGCTGCTGTGAAACTGAGAAAAACCTTGCCCAGGAATAGCACTTTAATAGCCAAACGAAAATGTGTTTACCTGTCCAATTCTGAGGGCCTTTTGGTGAGCTCAGCTGAGGTATGGGGCAGCAGGAATTATAAATGGTTGAATATACCCATAATACCCACGCAAACTGCTGTTTTTACATTTAAGTAATACCATCTTCCAAACAAAAACTGATTCTTTATCTGGAAAATGTATTGCTTCCAAAGTCACAGACATTGGATGAATCCCTGCAGGTTGTAGAATATTGGCTACCCAGAAGGACTTGCAGGGAAGGATATATGACAATGGTATAGGAAACTGTACCATCAACTTTCATGCCAAAATTATTGAATTATTGTTTAGTCCCACAAGAAAGCAGTTATATGCAAGGCAGGATGTCGTTATAGACAAAAGACAAAACTAATCATCCAAAGGCCAACACCTTACCTGACTTTGCCAATAACCAGCTGCCTGGCTTTGGGCAAGTCTGGGTTTCAATTTCTTACTGGTCAGAGAGGTCAGACTCGATGAGCTCTGAGCACCATTTAAATGGTCTCATTCTCTCACAGAACCAAACCAATATTCTTTTTCATAAGTACTTGAAAGATTTTCACTGGTATCTCTGGGTTCACCTAACATTGTTTATGCTGCATTATTTACTCAGATAAATGTGATGATTTTCAAAAATCATAGCATTTTAAGTAAGTTGTGAATCTTCTCCCTGCCTCCCCCCCCCCCCAATTAGTCATTTAGACGAATTCTACAATTTCGATTTAATCATGGTGAGAACAAGTGGTATTATTTCATTTTCACTTGGGAGCAGGGAGACACTAACCTTGAAGTGGTTATAAGGGTCATGGCCACATCAAGTGATGGGGTCATGACATTGAGGTTACATGGACCACAGTGCTAATAAGCAGAAGCAGATGTTTAGTCCTCACTCTGTCACTATCTGGATAAGTAATCTTGGACTGCTCCCTTCTCTATTCTGGGGTTTAATTTCTTTCACCTGCAAAATATAGCGGTTGTACCTGATGAGTCACAGGATCCCTTCTAGCTCAGACATTTAAAGTTTTACAGAAAGTTTATAATCTCTCCTGGTGGCCCCCACTGCAAGAGACAAGCAATATTAGGAGCAAAAATGGGTACATGAGGTTGGATGCTTTTGTTGTCCAAACTTTACAGCAAATGTATCTATCTAGCTCTGTAGACGAGGGCAGTAAGTTTGGCTTTAGGGATGGCCTTGACTGGTTTTTTATACCTAGATAACTGATGTGGAAGGCAATCTGACAACCATGGATTATGATCAGAACTCTCTTGGTCAGGAATGAACTATTGGCATCTTTGGTGGTCACGTAAAGAAATCAGTAGTGAGCAATCAGGAGAAACTGATCAGGCTCTCTTGACTGGGATTTTATGTATTTGGGTTGCAGAGAAGTTTTATCTCCAACTCTTAGAATATCAACATTGTTAACTTCTTACGGAGGTCAACAAATTCTTACCATGGATCTGTACACCCAGAACAACAGAGACTTAAACTCATTTTTTGGTATTTTGTGAACTATTTCTCAATGAATTCAGTTGTCATTCCACCCAAACCCATGTGCACATGTCCACATGTAATTTTCAAGAAAAGGCATCTACTTCATCTAGACATTGGTTCAGGGTGAAAAGTTTACAATGGGCACATTTTTTAGGAAGCAGGAGCAGAAATGTGTGACCAAAGAATGTTTCCATTTTGTTTTTAGCTTCTTCTCTGGGGAGATTCTGTAGATTTTCAAAACGTTCCCCCTCTTTAAAGCATCCAAAAACTCTTGATATAATAATAATGGCCAACCTAAAGGGAGCTTGACTTACAACAGAGAGTTCTCCTTCCAGAAATTCTACACTCTTCCTATCCATCCTGTTGCTAGCTTATAAAATGAGAAAGGTTCTCCTGCTAGAATATGAAATGTAGAAGACCTTGTAACTTTCAGCTGGTTTTTCAAAGATAAATTAAATGGTTCAGCTTCATAGAATTCACAGATGTATGTCTGTGTGTGTGCACAACACACACGTCAGACTCACTTGGGCAGTTTTAAAAGTTTAACGCTAAATCCCAAGCCATGATCTTGGAGTCATATGTAGTCATTCTCAAAATCAAACAAAATCTGGTGTCTGAGTCATCTGGTTATATCTCTAGCGATTTTTTTTCTTGAAATTCTGAAAATGATTCAGAGATGTATGCATATTTAAGTCACTTAGATGATCTGCAAACCTGGATGGTATTTATTCTAAATGGAAAAAGAAACAATTTTATACTGAAAAATCTATGTAATTTATAGTTTTGTTTAATATATTATATTTTCATATCTCTAGGGCACATCTACTCTTCTCATCTTTTTGTATATCATATGTAGTAAAAAGAAATACTAGCACTTGACTAAAATCTCTAGGAACTAAATGTGATACCTAATGTATAGAAATCACCCTAAAACGATGTGAATGTTCTCACCATACCAAGCGTTATTGTGCCGTGTTGTTACATGGAGAACGATTTGTCTCAGATGCTTATGAGCACTCCTTCTTCCAAAACTAAGGCTAGGAGACCTGCCCTCCCTCACAATGGATTCTGGAAGCCCTTTCCTTTCTTCTTCCTTTTTAGTGATTGCTTCCTTTTTACCTGTCTGTGCTGTTTCAGCCCCCCTTTAAAGGGCAAGTGTGAGATCGGAAGGCAACTTGATGGAAGGACGGAATTGAACTGTGGCTCTGCAAATTATTTAATGGACTAATAACCTGTTTTAAACCCAGTGCTTGGATTGTCACATATTAGTGATCTAAGATCTGCTCGCTTCTGTAGCACACGAAGAAAAGGTGAGGCACAGCGAATACTTGCATGTTTTGTACAGGCACACTCTCCGTGTAGTGCAGCAGACACAAACCAAGTTAACCGTAGAAACACCAGTCCCAGCCATGGGAGGAACTGGTCCGCCAAGGCAAATCAGACACCTTCCGTTTGCAGATGGAAATACAGTGCTGTGTCAGGGCTGGAACTGAAATGGCAACCTCTGTGGTCCTGTCAGTGGAGGGTTTCCTTCCACTCGGTAAGAAAACGGAGCGTTCAACTCCTCTGTCAGATACTCTGTTTTATACTCCGCGCAGTTCAGCTACTCACTTGTACCTGTCTTCACATATCCTTTCGGCAGTCCCTTATGATTATTGTTCCTGTCCCTATCTTTGCTTTTTAAACTAATGTATTGTGCTCTTTGGATACCTACCAAATCTCATTGCCTATTCCCACACATATTTGAGCACCGGATGTCTTCAGGATATTAGTCATTTTACATTCACTTACTCATTTAAAAATCCTTCAGTAGATAACCAAGTTTATTTTCCTTATGACTTTCCTAGGGTTTCTACAGTGTTTAATCATGTCTGGAGTAAATAAATCAGTGGCCGGGGGAGGGAATCAAAACAGAATTGCTTATTATGTTTTCCAAAGGACTGTTTGTTATAAAAGGAAATATTGTATGAGGGTGGCAATGATCTTTAAGAGTCTATAAGATATCATTTTAAGGAGGCTAGTACCCAGAATACCACAATCAAAATTGAAGCTTTTAGAGAATGTAAAAATAGGGGAAAAAATAGTTCTAAGAATATTTTGGCATGAGTTATTTTTATTTAACCAGTAATAAAAACCTTCAAATGTATCTCTCTGATACCACAGAGCTGCCTACAGTGAGTAAAGGTCAAAGAAGATGCTTATATTTCTGTTTGGTTTGCTGTTTATGTAGTTCTGGATATCCTTTGTTAAAATCAGAAAATAAAAAAAAATGTACCTGGGCAGAAACTTCTAACTGGTGATTTTGTGAACTATAAATGTTCACTTTTTAAAAACAAGTAAAATATGGAAACAAATGACTGATATTTAAGTTGATGTTATAGTAAGAAAAAACGTGTGATTCATCCTGTATTTTGATTGTTGCTTTAATAAAGGGTTTGCACAGGTGTGCGGAATGTGTGTGTGTCCTACCCAAGGGCATATCATTGTGGCCTGATTTACTCTTTGCAATGACATGAAATCTGTAGTTAATTCTTTTCCCTACCTTTTGCATCTAAAGCATATCTTGAGGGGAAATGAAATAACTTTTTTTTTTCCTTTTATTGATTTTAGAGAGAGGAAGGGGGAGGGAGGGAGAGAGAGAGAGAGAGAGAAACATCAGTGAGAGGACATCGATTGGCTGCCTCCTGCATGCCCCCCATTGGGGATTTTGCCCACAACCTGGGCATGTGCCCCAAATGTTAATCGAACTGGTAACCTCTTGGTACATGGATCAATGCTCAACTACTGAGTCACACCAGCTGGGCAAAATGAAATAACTTTTATGTAAAACTACGAACTTGATCCAAATTCAGAAACCTTAACATCATCCTGACAAACATTATAGCTATTTACTATTATCTATATTAAGAACAAGTTTACTTACTGAAGAGAATCCAAAAATATCAAGAAACTTACATACCCATAACTATCCACAGGAGTAGGCATGAGTACTAGATCTGCCACGAAACACCTGTACAACACCCAGTCCGGGCCAAATCTAAGAACATGCTAAGTACGCAGGTCCCCCTGACAATCGGAAAGCTTTAAAAGCAGCATTCGCTCAGATAAAATGAGATGTGTGATATGTAAGCAAAAGAAGAAAGGAGGCTACAAAATGAGAAACAAAGGCACCTAAGAGGGCAGAAAGTCAATATTTTACTGTAGACTAAAGAGGCAAAAAAAAATTACTGAGTGAATTATTCATGCACATAACTAACCATCCATGGGTTCTCTCAAGCAGAAAAGAAAAGGGGGTTTAAGAGAGTGAAATATAAATGATTGTGTCCTCGTGAAGGAGAAAATAAGAAAGTTTTGTCCTAACCAGGTAATTTTGGTGCATATTTTCAGACCCAGAACAAACAATTGCTAAATGATTTTTTGCAGATTTTGGAATGCCATGTTCTGCATGAGTCTTTATCCAAGGAGCTAGGTAATCAGTGATTTTTAAAGGATATAGTCACAGAGTTGGAAAGTAAGTAGGAGGTTATCTGATTTACATACCTTTTCTGCAGTGTGCCTAACAAGTAGTAAGTAGTTCAGCTCTGCTTGAAAGTCTGATAGACCTGGCCGGGTGGCTTGGTGGGTTGGAGCATCATCCCGTACACCAAAAAGGTTGCAGGTTCAATTCCCAGTCAGGACACACACCTAGATTTTGGGTTTGATCCCCAGTCGGGGTGCGTATGGTAGGCAACCAATAGATGTTTCTCTCTCCCTCTCCCCTTTCTCCCTTTCTCTCTCTCTGAAAATCAATTAAAAAAACATATTCTTGGATGAGGATTAAAAAGCAAGAAAATCTCTGATAAACAGGGACCTCACTACCTCATGCAGTAGCATATTACATTGTTAATGGGTTTTAAATTCTGAGTCGAAAATCTTAAAAGTAGTACCACACTGGTCCTTGAGCTAGCTGGAGCTGAAAGAGTAATTTAGTCCTGCTATGATAAAATTGTCTTTTTTGCCCTGGCCGAGTAGTTCAGTTGGTTAGAGCCTCATCCCCATATGCCAAGGTTGCAGTGTGGTTGCTGGTCAGGGCACATACAAGAAGCAACCAATGAATGCATCAATAAGTGGAACAACAAATGAGTGTTTCTCTCTCTCTCTCTCTCTCTCTCTCTCTCCCCTCACCCCTTCCTCTCTCTCAAATCAAAAACAAAATAAAATTATTTTTTACTGTCAAGACAAAACTAAAATTATAAATGTCGTCATAAAAAAGAGGATTACAAATATCGGGGGTGCTCCTGATACGACTACATTAATTACATGCCATGTGAATGGTCTCAGCCAACTGGTATTAGAGGCAGAAGTCAGGTGCTTTCCCCCGACTCCCAGCCCCTGAGATGCCCTAAGGCTAAGGCTCATTAAATAAAGGTGGTTCAACAAGCCAGAACAAAGAAGGAAAAAAGCAGCAGATTAGTTGCCTCAGTGATTATGGTTTCGAAGGACCATTAGAATTGACATACTACTGAAAGAAGAGTGTATCTGTGCTAAGTGGGATATTGAGGTATTTCTAAATAGCCACTGAATGAGAGTCAGCACCAGTTGCATTTACACTATTAGGGAAAATGATTCCAAGGGTAAAATAACAGTTTTCCTAAGATATTAACTGATAACTATTAAATAAGCTAAAACACATGAATGAAGATTGATACAACAATATGAATTTTTCAAAAAAAATTTCTCACTACCAATAGAGTGGATTTTCTCTTAATTGACTCATGTTTTAAACTTCTTTTATAGAATAGGAATCCCAGTGAATCATGCAAAGAATCACCGATACAGAGAAGTCTAACAAAATGGGGGGACTTTCTGTTGTTTAGTGTAAATGCTGTACAGCATCTATTTCCTGAAAATTTTTGTGAGTCATGTAAGCTGATGCGTATGGAAGACGCGCACGCGTACGAAGTGATCGGCGCCTCTGGTTTTAAGTCTGGTTGATCCTTATGTCTGCAGGTGTGGCACACTTCTCCCACATGGGCATTTGGTGGGTTGTACAAAGTTGTCCCAAAGCCTTAAGAAAAGTCCTAACTCTGACCATCAAGCTTTTTACGTCAAGTAGGGAGAAAATGTCAAGAATGTCTGAAGAAAGATAAAATTCTGACCTGGCCATGCAGCTTTCCCAGGTTGTCAGTGATGTTTCCTACTGTCTTCCCTGGGGCATTACCTCAGCTGTCCGGCCAGTGGACCAAGTCATTATGCATGAAGAAAAATGCTTGATTACAGAATAGCTTCTATGAGAAAACTGATCTACCATGAAGTAGACACTTGATCAGGTTAACATAAAAGGGTGAGTTTTAATGTTGGTGATGTTTTAAATTATTTTAAAACTGAAACATTATATAACTTATGACCTGGCATTGTATTTGTAGAAATGCCTTCACCTAAAGGAGAAGAAATTTGAAATTGTTAAGACCTCAGAAAATTTAAATACATTCTAACTGTAGAGGAAGAAAATGATAGTGAATATGGGGAATCTGTGATCATTAAAATTTTTTAATGTGAAGAATGTAACTTTTCTATTTTTTGTCAGTGCAGTAATTAGTGAGATACATAATATTTTTAAAAACCCTGACAGATCTTTGAAAATAACAAGTTGAACCTCAAATTAAAATATATTATTCTTTATCTTGATTCCTACTCTATATTAACTTCTCATTCATAATAATTAAGGTGATTGAGTTTAATTATATTTTACTTTCTGAGACTCCTTTGAGATTAGTAATTGCTATGTTTCATTCAGGCTCACTAACTCTCTATTAATCAAACATTTTACTCATTTTGAATCAATGATTCAGAGTATGATTACCAAAAAAAAACAAAAACTGCTGGATGATCTAAAAAATGTTTTTATCTATAGCTAAAAATGGAAGCCTTGTGCTCTAACACAAGAAAAAGACATTGTTATTATAACGTGCTCACAAATAGACTGAATGTTTGTGTCCACCCAAAATATTTGGAGGTGGGGCCTTTGGTAGGTGATTAGGTCATGAAGTCAAAGCCCTAATGAATGGGAGTCCTGTCCTTTTAAAAAAGATCCCACAGAGCTCTCTGGCCCCTCCTCCCACACGAGGATGTGAGGACACACCAGGAGGACCACATTCTATGAACCAGGAGCACGCTCTCACCAGACACCAAATCTTCATCTTGATCTTAAACTTTGCAGATTCCAGAACAGTAAGAGATCATCTGTGTTGTTTAAGCCACTCAGTCTGTGGCATTTCTGTCATAGCAACCCAAATGGACTAAGACAGGAAGTATAGTATAAAATGGTACAAGAACACATCAAACATACAACGTGTTTCCTTCAAGTCTTTACAAACGGATTTGAATTGCCTTTGAAAACATTTTCCTTGGCAGATTTTAAAAAACATCTCAATATATAAATCAATACAAATACATAATTATAAACCTTCAGATTATTTTCCTATGTCATTCAACATTTACATTCACCAGCATAGAAAAATTATAATATAGTCATGATTGTCCTATTTATGTGAGATTTTAAGAGGATGGCTGTGCTTTATAACACCAGACTGAGACTCAGTCCATTACCTAAACATAAAATTGTCTCACTCCAATTCGTACTCAAATGTATATGGTGGACTGGACCTTAACTACTCCTGTATGAATATGTGTTTGCTAATATGCATGTATGAATTTTATCTTTCTAAATACTCCGAGCCTAGAACATAAAACAAATTTCTAATGAGACTTTTTATTTTTAGATCATCTTAGATTCACCAGCAGTTGTAAGAAGAGAGATCCCTGGTACACTTGACCCAATTTCCCTCAATAGAAATATCTTGCAAAATTATAGTTCGTTATCACAATCAGGGTATCAGCATTCATACAATTTCACAATCTTAATCAGATGTCCCCAGTTTTACATGTATTCATTTGCCTGTGTCTATTTCATTCTACACAACTTTTATCATGTATAGGCTTGTGAATCCACCATCACAGTCAAGATACATAAAGTTCCATCATCACAGGGATCCCTCAAGTTGCTCCTTTATAAACATACCCACCTCCTGCTCCAGAATACTTTTGTTTTTTAACTCAGTAAACTCTCCTTAGATAAGTGAAACTTGTCTGGAACCAATTGTGATAAATGTATTTTCCATAAAAATATGCTTGCCCGGCTGGTGTGGCTCAGTGGACTGAGCGTTGGCCCATGGACTGAGAGGTCCTGGTTCAATTCCTGATCAGGGCACATGCCGGGGTTGCGGGTTTGATCCCCAGTGAGGAGCATGCAGGAGGCAGCCAATTGATGTTTCTCTCTCATATCCATATTTCTATCTTTCTCTAAAAAATCAATAAAAACATATTAAAAATATATATGCTCAACTGTATCAGTTTGTTGATGTCTGATTTTCTGTTGCTTTAGTAGGACTTAAAGAGT